TCGGCTGCATGACTTCTGAGAGCCCAGGGGACAGAAAGTTACTGTATAGAAGGAGAAGGCTGACTTTCAAACACATGTAGAAAATGTATGTGAGTCAAAAATTACCATCTACTGGGTCCTATCTACTGAAATCTGGGGCACTGCTTGTTAGAGCAGTTAGGGTAGAAAAGAATGGTATCCTTATCGGGCATCCTTTGAAGTTTAAACGTCTGGTGGTTTAACCGGGTGGGTTTAGATTTCCTTAGACGTCCAATTACTTGGCAAGCAGCTCTACTCGAAGTAAAAGGGAAGTCACTTAAGTGTTTGAAGCAAGGGTATAATATGATCCAATTTCTGTTTTCAGAAATATCACTCTGGCAACTGGATGGAAAACTAAAAAGGTCAACGGTGATGGGTAAAAGACCTGGCAGGAGGGGGCAAAGTAGTAGATCTGGTGGTTATGACTGGGGAAATAGCAGAGACAGAAAGCAATGGCAAGAGCTACCGTGTACGGCTAGAACTGGTAAGATACATTAATAATTTTGGCCATTTCTATGGGCTATTTCTTTAAACCACAAAAATAGCAAAATGAGGCAGTTTTGAACTCCCAACTGTACTAACACTCCACCATACACCTATTTCAAATAAATATCTTCAAGGACCCTTTCCTTATGTATACAGAATAGCTCCCATATTGGCAAACGAAACAAAAGCATAAATGAACCTTTGGGACTACATCAAAATAAAAAGCTTCTGCTATTTGCACATGACATATCCAATAAAGGATTAATATCCAAAATGTATAAAGAACTTACACAACTCAACACCAAAAAAAAAATAAATAATCCAATTAAAAATGGGCAGAAGACATGAACAGACATTCCTCCAAAGAAGACATCCAGATGGTCAACAGACACAATATCACTCATCATCAGGGAAATGCAAATCAAAACCACAATGAGATATCATTTCACACCTGTCAGAATGGCTAAAATTAACAACACAAGAAATAACAAGTGTTGGCGAGGATGCGGAGAAAAGGGAACCCGGTGCACCGTTGGTGGGGATGTAATTTTGTACAGCCACTGTGAAAAATACGGAGGTCTCCCCCAAAATTAAAAATGAAAATACCATTTGATACAATAATTACACTACTGGGCATTTACCTCCAAAATTGAGAATACTAATTCACAAAAATACACTCTTACATCTACAGCAACATTATCTACGATAGTCAAGATATGGAAGCCACCTAAGTGTCCATTGATGTAATCTTTCAAAAAGTGAAGGTATCTCCAACCAAACTCAATTAAAAAATAATAAGTAAAAAGAAAAAAGAATTTTTTAAAAATCGCATTTCGGAAAGAAATTGAAGGTATTAGTGTAGAATTTTAGCTACATATAATCCTAATTCTAACCTTCAATTTCCCCCAAATCAGAAACGTGTTTTGAGGTATTTGAGATAAGGCATTACTGTCAGCTCTTAGTGCCATAAAGACTCCCCATGAAGCTTGTCTTTATAAATATTTAATATAAATATTTATAAAATAACATTGTAAATTATAAACTACTAGAAACATCATTATTACCACAAAAAGACAAAAAAATTCCTCAATAAAATCCTTAAAAAGATGCTGGTAAAGCACAAAATTTTCAAAGCCAGATTGCGTTTCATTTTTTCAGTTTGAGACTGAATGTTATCAGTATTAAAATGTTATCAGTATTTTCCATGTATGGTAAAAGATATCTTCCATTCTGGAAAGGATCAGAGTCATTTATTGTTAAAGCAAAGATACCATAATTATTTATAATCAATATCGCTTCCATGAATATTTGATTCTCTAGATCATGAGATTTCATGAAAATGATCATCCCAGAAAACTTGCAATTCATAATGTCATTTCAAATCAATACTTACAGACCTGCAAAGGGAAAGCTGAATAAGTATTAAATTCAGCACAGAAACAGCATTTGGAATATAATCATCTCTACTACTCATTGTTTTGGTTGCATTTGAAATACTAGATTTTACAATTAAATTCTTATATTGACTCTAAATATCAGTGATTTAAGAATGATTTTCCTCTAAAGATGCCAGATTTTAAGATACATTTTTAAGAACCTTGGTCTATTAAGCACATCTGTTTCTGACTCTAAAAATTGCTAATCTTTCCATAAGCAGTTCCTGGCCACATATGCATTTGCTTGTAACAGTTTCAGGCATGTAAAACAGAATTACACTCGTATTCAGAACTTTCTATAGATGAAGAGCTACAGTGAAAGTGAAGATCATTTATCACAATTTTTGAGAGGTAGAGTAAGAAAAGAGAATTCCTATGAGGTTCTAAAGGATGCATCATGGCGTGATCCCTGATTGTCAATCAACTGTATAAAAACTTTGAATATTTTACACTTATAATTACTCTACAAGGCCATTTCCAAATGTGTGGTCAAATTCTTCTCGTGTTATAATCTATTACAAAACAGTTAAACAAAGGATACCTAAACATTATGTGTGACAAAGTGTTTTTATTTATTCAGTTTTTAAATATTTTTAAATATTCCACAATATCTCTAAAGTAATTTAAATGTATCTTTTCAAAAAGCCTTTAAGAATATCACCAATTCTTTTTAGGGAGTGGAAAGAGACATTTAAAAAAATAATCTCATACAGATAATTCAAACAATGTGTTTTTCTTTATTTCCATTTAAATTAGCTCTCCATCATCTAAAGTAAAACTTTTTTTATTCATTGTTACTTTCCTTCAGTGTTCAAACCTGTAGTTGATTGAACCGAAACACGCACTCAGAGTTTAAATAGTTGAACAAGTTTCTCACAACAATCTTGAGGTTTCCCCTGTTCCAAAAGCCCTATAATTTTATCTAGTAAAAGGATCACGTATGGACTAATATATTTTTCTGTATAGGTGTGAAAACGTAGAGCCATTTTACACCCATGCTGCATTTGTTTTATTTTTTCTCATTTATAAAGCTTTGTTAATTTAAAGTAGACATGTTCCCCGCTTAACGTCAAAAATACCATCTTTGACGATAAAACATTAAGCGTTTTAAAATATATGTATCACTTTGTAAACCAACTGAAAACCATGACTTCTCAAACACAGTTGCACAGACATGTGAAATTACTCGAATAAAAAGCATTAGGAAACTAACGTTATCAAGTCTGCACCGTCCACTAGTGGCAAGAGATGGTAAATGCATGTTCCTCGTAAAATTCAATTTAAAACGAATTCTATCTTCAGTATTAGCTTTGTCAATCAAATTTAGAGCCATTAGAAAGGGCAAATACATGTGTACTGTAAACATAACATGATTATTGCGTCGTGAACTATTTTTCCTGCATAACATTCAATTACTGTCAAGAATCATACCTAGAGACACCAGGTTCAGTTAGGTACCTGTGAATATAAATACCATGGATCCATATATAAAGGCATGTGTGTGGACACACGCATACACTGTGCATGTACCTAAAGTCTGAACGAGAAACGAAGTCACTCTGACCACCTCACATGAATCAACAAAGGAGGGGGAAACTTTATGTAGCTTGTTAGCTTTGTTTCACTCACCCTGCACTGCGGCTCTCCCTGAAATTACCTTTGATTAATAAGTGGTTTCTAAGCAGGAAATATTTGCTTAATAGTATGATGAAAAGCTCTCCCTCCTTTGAAATCTCAGTGGTCCACTGTGTGAACAGAGCTGACCATACCTGAACCTTGTGATGACGCTGCCCCGTGGAAGTCAGAATGCCCGCGTAGGATTCAGAAATCAGGCGTATGCGGCCAGCTGAGGCTCCTCAAGCAATTTTAGCAAACTTAAGTCAATGAGTCTAAACTTTACCACTTGCGGGAAGAAAATCTGAAGCAACATTCATGTGCGATTTCATAAACAAAGAGAAACACTGCTTACCACTTTTTTTTTTTAACAACTGATAGAACAACACTTTTGATTAAGGCACAATTACATAATTGATTTAGATAGCTTCTTCAGACAGCTGTTCAGCATGTATATGGTTTGTATGTGTGTGTGTATACATAATATATGATGTTTAATACGTATTATTAATATACATATAAATACACACACACACACAACTAAATGTTTACTCGAAGAATTTGGCTTGCCATTATTTTGTCAGTATTTTTCTTTTCTTTGCTCATTATTCTGTCCCACTTACTTACCTGGAACGATGCTTTAGTACACAGAAGATGTACAATTAATATTGTTTATACCATAAATATTAATAAATCATTGAAATGGGAAAGGTTTATGACAGCATTTTATTGATGAAAAAGCAAAGGCAAAGTATAAAGGCAAGTAGGCTGATTCTGAATTACTATAAAGTCAATATGAAAAGAACCTAAATGCACTTGAGATGAATGGATATCTTCAAAGTGCTTCATAAAAGAACAAGATAACATTGTTTATTGTAAGTGCCATGATATAATGGCTTCTTTAGCAGCGTCCCCTCACAAGTTCCTGGAATGGATAATTAATGCTGTCAGGCTGATCACTGAAAATATGTGATATTTAGAACAAGATTTCTTTTTTCTTTTTGTTCAAAGTTTTGTTTAAATTCTAGCTAGTTAACATATAGGGTAATCTTGGTTTCAGGAGTCATATTTAGTGATTCATTACTTACACATACTACCCCATGCTCATCACCAGTGCCCTCCTTCACGCCCATCCCCCATCTAGCCCATCCCCCACCCACCTCCCTCCATCAGCCCTCAGTTTCCCCCACCATTAAGAGTCTCTTAGGCTTGGCTTCCCCCTGTCTCTATTTTCTTTCCCATATGTTCATCTGTTTAGAACAAGATTTCTTATGGGCTGAGTTTGACCGAGTTCACATGAGCATGTAAGTTCAAATACCCCTCTTATGGAGGAAATTCAATTTTTAAACCTTTCCTCTTTGTGGAGGTTTCTGCCCACTGGCTTACACATATAAACCGAGAAAACTGGCACTTTCATTTCTTTCTCAACACTGTTCGTCTCCATACCTCTTTCAGATTTTTTGGCTCTGAGTCTTTCAGTTCTTCATATTTCCATTTCCATACAGACAAAGCTGACTCCAGTCGTTCTATTTCTTTTTCCAAAGATGAGCGCTTTCTAAATAAAGAATTAAAAGCAAAACAGGCTTACAATTTAAAGACAAGTTTAGGAACACATTCAGTATTTTTGTTTCCTGTTTTCATTATTTTTATATTTGTATACGACCATTGTAATCACAGGAAAAGTTTTCCAGCTTATTAACAATTACAAACATTGAATAAAACTTGGTTTAATTTTTTATTCTGTCACTTAGCATTAGAGTAGGTTAAACATATTTAATTTGGCTTTGCCTGTATCAAAATATTTAACTTTCTGCCTGCTTTCTCCTCTATTATTCGTGCATTTGTCTCATTATCTCATTCATATTGTTTCTCCTTGTATAGGAGGATATATATATATATTTCTAATTTTAACATGGCTTCTATACAGCTTCATATTGTGACTATACATGAATGAAGAATCCTTTGATATGACAGAGAATGACAAGGAGTCTACATAATAATTTAAGAAATCAATTATTTACTGGGGCTATAAAAATACTTTTTAAATATTTGCAATTTTGTTTAATGAAGCAATTTCACTGGGATCTTTATTTAAAATAATTGACATTAATTTCTCCATTTGTAGAACAAGTGACTCAGTTAGAATTGAAATCTGGTCCTTTAATATCTCAATTATCGATTTTTTGTATGCCCATATGTCTATCAGAGTGAGTCACTGACAATAATTGTTTACTACGGGTTGTAATTAGCATATATTGACCTTTGCAGATGGACAATCCTCATTTGTGTGGTGCATTAGATGAGTGCTTAATAATGTTCAATCTCTTTTCTCTACTCCCATGGACAGAACTGCTTTCCTCAACCCTTGCTTCTAGTCTTTGACAATGGGATATTAGCAGATATGACAGACGCAGACGTTTGAAAAGAATTCGTGTGGTTGGGCTTCTTCTCTTATGCTTCAGCCATCACTGTGAAAAGAGTTTTCCCTTGGGAATTGCTGTCCCCAAATAAAAACATAAAGCAGATCTGAGCCCAGCCTTACCACTGAGCCAAGCCCTGCTGGTCAAGTGGAGGTCAGCTAACCCCACCTTTTTTGTACCCATATGGGCAAAAAGAATAGTTGTTTTACGACACTGAAGAGTGTGTGTGTGTGTGTGTGTGTGTGTGTGTGTGTGTGTGTGTGTGTGTTTTGTTTTGTTTGTTTTTTTCTGCAGCAGAAGATAACTGACATAGAAAATGACACTTGGGGGGGGATGCTACAGTAGCAAAAATGAAAAATATGTAGACTTAACTTCAGGACTAGATTGTGGGCAGAGGCTGGAAAAATGGTGATAAAACATAAGCAGCTGGAAAAATAGTGATATGTGTTATTTAGTAGTGAAAACACATGATGAAATCATCACTTGCAGTGTTTTGGAAAATGGAAAATGTGAATGATATCACCAGTGGAATGCTAGTGGGCACCATGTGACCGAGCCTTCAAACATGTTTATACAATTTATACAATAAGAGGTTTTACCCTCTTATATTTTGGCTACAGCAATAAGTACATACCAATGCAGACTTACTGCTCCCAGTGGGGGTAGGAGAGATATGGATCATAACCAGTCTCCCCTGCTCCCCTGCAGAGTCCAGTCAATATCAGTCAGCCGTTAGTTGGCTCACAGACTCCAGCTAAATAAAGTCTGAATGTTGTATACCACTGAGATTTTGTGGCTGTTACAACCTTATCGTAATTTTAATTAACCAATGCACACACTCGGGTCTAGTTCCATGATAATGTCACTAGAAGGATCTTAGAACATATTCACAGATCTAAAAGATGCACCCAGAATCAAAATTGAATGCCATTTACATAATTATGAGAAATATGAATCTTCCAGGAAGCAACACTATGAAAATAATTCAAAATAGAATTAGGTCATAAATAGTTTAATCCAATGAATGGATAAGCAGCTCATTTAAAAGTTATATAACTATATTTGCATGAACCAAGCCATGGAATTGAAGAGAATGTCTCAGAATTAGAGTTTAACCTCAGAAGACTCAGGTTGCAAAAACATCCTCACCGTTAATAAGACTATAATTTTAGGGGTGCCTGGGTGGCGCAGTCGGTTAAGCGTCCAACTTCAGCCAGGTCACGATCTCGCGGTCCGTGAGTTCGAGCCCCGCGTCGGGCTCTGGGTGGATGGCTCAGAGCCTGGAGCCTGTTTCCGATTCTGTGTCTCCCTCTCTCTCTGCCCCTCCCCCGTTCATGCTCTGTCTCTCTCTGTCCCAAAAATAAATAAATGTTGAAAAAAAAAATTAAAAAAAAAAAGACTATAATTTTAAATCTCTTATTAACAGCAAATATATAAAATTAACCAACAAAAGGACTCAATATAAAAGTCTAGGTCCTATGAACACTGCCTATGAATGTCTACAGATCCAGATTAACAACCTCAGCCCAAAATCCTGATAGAAAAGCAGACCCAGCCAGCTAAAGACACCCAAGTTATTTATCAAAATATTATATTCTCAAAAATTTTCAGTAGAATAATATAAAAATTTACTTGAAAATTTGAGAAAAGTCTACATTTTAAATTTTATGAATTCAAAATCATACATGTTCAGATCACTGTCAGTTTTTTTTTTTTTTAAATGTTTTTTTTTTTTTTCAACGTTTATTTATTTTTTGGGACAGAGAGAGACAGAGCATGAACGGGGGAGGGGCAGAGAGAGGGAGACACAGAATCGGAAACAGGCTCCAGGCTCCGAGCCATCAGCCCACAGCCTGACGCGGGGCTCGAACTCACGGACCGCGAGATCGTGACCTGGCTGAAGTCGGACGCTTAACCGACTGTGCCACCCAGGCGCCCCTGTCAGTTTTTAACATTACACTTTAATAAATCAAATGCTAACATGAGCAGAAAAAGCTCACATTAACACAAAAATGATTCATTATTACTACTGAATAAATGTCGATCTTCAAAAATGCCACCAAAAATATTGGGGTAAATATTCCTTTAAGGTTTTTATAAGAGATTCAAAAAGAGCATTTCAAACTACATATTAATTAAACATTTCATCTTAGTTACAGTGAAACATAGATGCATTCTAAAGATATGATTATATCTAGATTACATCTAGACTTATAACAAGTAGTCAAAGCCAGTTCATGAAATAAAAATAATATAATTTTCCCAAGTATATTAAAATGAAAATTCCTATTACCTTATTTAAGACAAATTAGTAACATTTAAAATGTAGTATTATTTATCTCTTTAAGTATGTATCTTACATATAGTAATTTATATTTATGGCTTACTGAAATAAAATTATGCATTTTTATTATGTAAAATGGTACCATTTAGTCAGGGAAGGCAGCAGACTGGCAATTCATAGAAACTTACTTAATGATAATGTGATACTTGGATATTTTTAATATGCATTCATCAAAAAATATTTTGTGACTCAATGCAAGCAAAGCTGAAGGACATATGGACATTGTACACTTAAATTTATGCAGCAGAGGGCACCCTTTAAATTCTTAATTTCTGGCCTAATCAATTTATTCTATATTTTAGAGAGATTTTCAAAATTGATTAATTATACAGTTAAATTTCTAATTGAAATTTAAACTATCAGCATGCCATTTGAACTACAGGAAGGCAAAGAAAAATCCTAATTTACTCTAAAAGATACTGCATATTTTATGCACAAATTCTTCTAAAAATAATAAGATAAAGCTCAGCAAAAATGTAGTATCTTATACACGATGATATAAACTTTTAAAAATCTAACTGCTAAAATACATAAAAGTTGCAGAACTAAAAGATATTGAGTGAACCAAGAAGATTTTTATGGAAAGATATGATATTTCTATGCAATATTTTCATATTTTGTTAACTATCACAATCCCATAATAATTGGGCATACAACTTGAACATATATATAGAAAACAAGATTAACCAAAATATTTTTCAAGGATGAAAATTCCTGAAACATTAATATTTGGGAATAAATATTAATCATTTTTGAACTGTGTGAAATTTCACTGTAAAATATGTGGTAAGTATGTTCCTAAAGGTCTATTAATGTGAAATGTTTTGGCCAGGCAAAAATAATTAACCTGTAATAACATCTAGAAACCAGTTTTTCTATTAATCCAAAATGTAGAGTTAGTATCCACTATAAATAATTTTAAAATGTTTTAAAATATGCTTTTAATCAGCAACATATTTTCCATTTTGTGATTCTACTCCCAAGTATTTATAATTATATCCTGGAACATTTTTAGCACCTTTTAGCAAATATCCATATATAATTTAAGTAGAAAAGAAATGAATTTTAAAAAAAAATTTTAATGTTTATTCATTTTTGAGAGACAGAGCACGAACAGGGGAAGGGCAGCGAGAGAGAGACACACACACAGAATCCAAAACAGGCTCCAGGCTCCAAGCTGTCAGCACAGAGCCCGACGCGGGGCTCGAACCCCCAAACTGGGAGATCATGACCTGAGCCGAAGTTGGACACTCAACCGACTGAGCCACCCAGGTGCCTCAGGAAAGAAATGAATTTAAAAAATACTGTAGGGGCACCTGAGTGGCTCCATCCGTTAAGTGTCTGATGAAGATGAAGCCACAGCAATCTTCCCATCAGCATGTCATTGAGGCCACCAGTTAGGCACAGACAACCAGCATGACCTCAATACCATCAACTCCAGATGTGGGACAGTTTCACCAGAGAGCAGAGACCACTGCTGCCTCTGGGATCAAGACATAGTTACTGCCGCAGCCTCCTCCCTCATCAGGATGGATTCCGGGCACTTGCTTCTTGGAGCATTAGCTTCTGCTAAAAAGTCTAGGTGGCTACATCTGAAAAGTTGTTCCTATGTCAAGTGTCTGCCTTAATGACAAGGGAGACTCAAGTTGAGACTTACTAGCAATGTTGCAGTCTCTGCAGAGAAGTAGACTCAATTTCCTTCAGCAAGGAAATACCCAAACACAAAAGGTACTACAGAGTAAAAAACAAACAAACAAACAAAAAACAGTTGCAAAAGTAGAGAAAAATTAA